CTGTGACAAACTACCATAAGGTGGGCAGCTGATTAAAGAAATTTATTTCTCACAGTTCTAGGGGATGGGAAGTCCAAGATCAAAGTGCTGGTAGATTCTGTCTGGTGAGGGCTAGTATTTTGGTTCGTAAATGGTTCTTTCTCGCTGTGTCCTCACATGATGGAAGGAGCAAGGGGTCTCTCTTAAACATCTTTTTTTTTTTCTTTTGGAGACGGAGTTTCAATCTTGTCACCCAGGCTGGAATGCAATGGCTCAATCTCTGCTCACTGAAACCTCCGCTTCCCAGATTCAAGCGATTCTCTTACCTCAGCCTCCTGAGTAGCTGGAATTGCAGGCACCCGCCACCATGCCCAGCTAATTTTTGTATTATTAGTAGAGACAGGGTTTCACCATGTTGGCCAAGCTGGTCTCGAACTCCTGACTTAAGGTTATCCACCCACCTTGGCCTCCCAAAGTGCTGGGATTACAGGTGTGAAGACATGTCACCTGCCCCTGTTTTACATCTTTTGTATATTTATAGACAAAGCCTTGCTCTTTTGTTCAGGCTAAAGTGCAGTGGAATGAGCATAGCTCACTGCCTCAAACTCCTGAGCTCAAGTGATCCTCCAGCTTCCACCTCCCAAGTAGCTGGGACTATAAGCACGTGCCACCATACCCAGCTTTAATTTTTTTTTTTTTTTTGGTAGAGATGGGGTTATTGCAGTGTTGCCCAGGCTGGTCTCAAACTCCTGGCCTCAAACAGTTCTGCCTCTGTCTCCCAGTGTTAGGATTACAGGCATGAGCCACTGCAGCTGGCCTTATATCCTTTATAAGGGTACTAGTAACAATCATGAGGGCTCTGACCCCATGACCAAATGACTTCCCAAAGACTCCATCTCTTGATATCATCACTGTGTTAGGCTGTTCTCACATTGCTATAAAGAAATATCTGAGACTGAGTAATTTACGAAGAAAAAACGCTTAATTGGCTAAGAGTTCTGCAGGCTGTATAGGAAGCATGGTGCTGGCATCTGCTTGGCTTCTTGGGAGGCCTCAGGAAACTTACAATCATGGCAGAAGGCAAAGGGAGAGCAGGCATGTCACATGACCAGAGCAGGAACAAGAGGTGGGAGAAGTGCCACACACTTTAAATAACTAGATCTCACAGGAGCTCACTCATCATAGGAGCAGCACAAAGGGGATGGTGCTAAACCATTCATGAGAAATCTGTCCCCATGATCCAGTCACCTCCCACCAGGCCCCAGCTCCAACACTGGGGATTATAATCCAACATGAGCTTTGGGTGGGACATCTAAACCATATCAATCACCTTGTGGGGTAGAATTTAAACATACAAACTTGGATCTGGGTACACAAGCATTCAGACCACAGCATTATCTTATGCAGTTTCAGTTTGGTATCTTATATGAGGTTGCAGTTAAAATATCAGCTGGGGCTGCAGTCATATCTGAGTTGGAATGAGGCTGGAGCATCCACTTCCAAGATGGCTTACTCATACGGTTGTTGGAAAGAGACTGTTTTTCCCTAGCTGTTGGTCTCAGCTCCTCGCAATGCGGGCTTCTCCATAGAGCTGCTCACAACAAGGCAGCTGGTTTCCCCCAGAGCAAGTGGTTTGTGAACCCCAAATATCTGGGAAATGTCTCAGTCAATTCAGAAAGTTTATTTTCCCAAGGATGAGTGACCGTGACACAGCCTCAGGAGGTCCCGATGACATGTGCCCAAGGTGGTGGGGGCACGGCTTGGTTTTATACATTTTAGGGAGACATGAGACATCAATCAACATATGTAAGATGAACGTTGGATTTGTCCAGAAAGGTGGGACACCTCGAAGCAAAGGCAGGGCAACTCAAAGGTGCTGGGGGGTGGGGGGGTCTTCCAGGTCTTGGGTAGATAAGAGACAAATGGGTGCATTCTTTTGAGTTTCTTTTTTTCTTTTTTTGTCACCCAGGCTGGAGTGCAGTGGCATGATCTCAGCTCACTGCTACGTCTGTCTCCCAGGTTCAAGCAATTCTCCTGCCTCAGCCTCCCAAGTAGCTGGCATTACAGGTGTGTACCACCATGCCTGGCTAATTTTTGTATTTTTAGTAGAGGTGGGGTTTCACCATGTTGGCCAGGCTGGTCTTGAACTCCTGACCTCAAATGATCCATCCACCTAGGCCTCCCAACGTGCTGGGATGACAGGTGTGAGCCACCACTCCTGGCCCTTTTGAGTTTGTGACTAGCCTCTCCAAAGAAGGCAATCAGATATGCATTTATCTCAGTGAGCAGAGGAGTGAATTTGAATAGAATGTAAGGCAGGTTTGCCTTAAGCAGTTCCCAGCTTGACTTCTCTTTTAGCTTAGTGATTGTAGGGCCCCAAGATTTATTTTCCTTTCACAGGTTGGAGGGAAAGAGATGCCACACTACCTTTTATAAACTAATCTGCAAATCATACATCATCACTTCTGCCTTTTTCAGTTGGTTATGAGCTAGTCAAGTCACTAAGTCCAGCCCACACTCAACAGGAGGCAATACACAAGAGAGAATACAAGGAGGAAAAAATCACTGGGAGTCATCTCGAAGGCTGGCTAGCAATCACAGTTTGCTCTGTGACTGCAATTATTCATGCCATTTTTTTTTTTTTTTTTTTTTTTTTTTTTTGAGATGGAGTTTCGCCCTTGTTACCCAGGCTGGAGTGCAATGGCGCGATCTCGGCTCACCGCAACCTCCGCCTCCTGGGCTCAGGCAATTCTCCTGCCTCAGCCTCCTGAGTAGCTGGGATTACAGGCACGTGCCACCATGCCCAGCTAATGTTTTGCACTTTTAGTAGAGACGGGGTTTCACCATGTTGACCAGGATGGTCTCGATCTCTCGACCTCGTGATCCACCCGCCTCGGCCATGCCATTTTAACATACTGACCAAACTCCCTGCATCCAAGGTCCCCAAAAGTTACATTTTTAAAAATCACCTATAGTTTTAGGTATTAGTATCTTACTGTCACATCAGCTTTACATCCAGAATTTTGTCTTGTAAATTAGGTCAGATGTAGATGAGGCTTTCAGAGCATAGTTGCATAAATTCAGCTTGTTAAACGAGTGAACTCCAAGTTTCTCTTCAAAGAATCAGCATGTCAGTATATTCAGCTCTCTTATTCTTTAATTCTGCATTTTAAAGTTTAACTTCCTTGTAGTTTCAGTAAACAACCTTTTCCACCAGTTCTAATCAGTAGTTCACATCTGTTTCCCCAGTCCCCTGCTCTGTCCTGACTCATCCCAGTCACCTGCTCCAGTCACCTGCTTTGACCCCTGGTTACCTGCTCTCACCTGTCCCGTTGCTGTACTTCTAGCCAAACTACCCAGCCCGCCACTCCGGCTAGTACCCTGGCTCTCTTTAAAATAGCCAACTGGAATTAGCCTAGACTGTGCGGTCTAACCTTAGCCAATAGGGGAACACCACAGCTGTAGGGGCTACCTCCAACAGGAGTAAGAACCCCTTCCCTTCCCTTGTCCAGGTGTGTGCTCGCCATTGTTCTATCTCTGAGCTGCACCCTTCTATAGAAGTAAATTGCCTTGCTGCGGAAATTTATATTCAAGTGCTACTTTTCCAGCACTGAAAATTTACATATAACAAGCTCCTAGAGTACAATTCTTCTTGATCTGTAGACCTTCGAAGCTAAAGAGACAAGTTATCTGCCCCTATGCCTTCAATATACACTTGTGGGGCAGGCACAGGATAACCACTACAGACCAGTTCCACTGCCACTAGATAACCACTACCACTCCTGTTCAAAAAGGGGGGAAATTGGAAGTACATATAAGTTACCAGTCTGTAGTGACTCTGCCATCCAGTGTCAAGGTCTAGGAGTAATTCTCCATGACTCCCAGTTCCATCATCAGGACTCTTGGCTTTATGCTCTGAGTCATACTTCCTTTTTCATGAAATGTAGCATGTGTTTGCTGATGAGTCCTTTTCTCAGTCTGATTCTTGCTTGTAGAAGTCTGGGGAGTGGGGATCCAAAGGCCGGTTCCTTTCAGTGCAATCCACAATGTTTGTGTCAGTATACTTATCTTTAAAAAACTTTGGATCACCTGAGGTCAGGAGTTTGAGACCAGCCTCGCCAGCATGGTGAAACCCCATCTCTACTAAAAATAAAAAATTAGCTGGGTGTGGTGGCATGTGCCTGTAGTCCCAGCTACTCAGGAGGCTAAGACAGGAGAATCACTTGGGCCTGGGAGGTGGAGGTTGCAGTGAGCCAAGATTGCACTACCGCACTTCAGCCTAGATGACAGAGTAAGACTCAGTTAAAAAAAAAAAAAAAAAAAAAAAAACCTCATCAGGGTTTACTCCGTTCGACAAAAGTGTGGCCTACAAATCCCTTTGAGGTAAGTCCATCTCTATCTTGTGCTTCTGCTGATAATACTGACCCAGCCTTCTGGAGGCCGTGTGGTTTCATTGATGGACTCTGTGAGGCACACCATTAATTTGTTTAAGAAGCTGTCAGTCTGACCGAATGGTATTCTGAGGCAGCACTTTTGCTTTTTCTGAGAATTTAAAGGATTTTACCGTCACATCTCAGCTTCATTTTTTTTTTCTGGCAGTACCCTGGATTTGATATTTGCTTGGAAACTATTTCTTAATTTTACACCATTTGCAATCAGACGAAGCTGAGGACTTTAAAAATCATCTAAAGTCGTCAAGGTCCATTCATTTTGTGTTTCGTTTTGCTTACCTCTTTATTTTACTATAAACAGCAAAAAGAAATGAAGGACAGGAGGGAGACTTTCACGGGTGCTGGACATGTCTTACCTGTTGGTCTGCATAGAATAGGCATGGTTGTATGGATGTGTACAAAGTCATCAATGTGCACACTTAAAATATATGCACTGTATTGTATTCCTGCTATACCTTCGCTTTAAAAAAAAAAAAAAGTTTAATTTGAGGTCGGGCGTGAGAAAACCTCAGCACGCTTGCGTGAGCGTGAACGCGCTCGGAGGCCGAAACAAAGGTGGATGCGCGTGCACAGACGCGATCGTAGGCCGCCGGAAGCAAAGGCGTGAGCGCGCGTGCGTGCGTGCGTGCGTGCGTGTGCGTGAGCGGGCGGAGGTCGGAAGCCGGCGCTGCGCAGCCGGGCGGTCGCGGGCCATGGAGGGTCGCTCGCCCGAGGGGCCGGCGGAAGAGGCCGAGCCGCAGTGCGCCGCCTGGAGCGGGGACAGCGGCACCGTGTCCCAAAGCCACAGCAGCGCCTCGGGGCCGTGGGAGGACGAGGGCGCCGAGGACGGCGCGCCGGGCCGCGACCTGCCGCTGCTGCGCCGCGCCGCCGCGGGGTATGCCGCCTGCCTGCTGCCCGGAGCCGGCGCGCGGCCCGAGGTCGAGGCCCTGGACGCGAGCCTGGAGGACCTGCTCACCAGAGTGGACGAGTTCGTGGGCATGCTGGACATGCTTCGCGGCGACTCGTCCCACGTCGTCCGCGAGGGAGTGCCGCGCATCCACGCCAAGGCCGCCGAGATGCGGCGCATCTACAGCCGGATCGACCGGCTGGAGGCCTTCGTGAGGATGGTGGGCGGCCGCGTGGCCAGGATGGAGGAGCAGGTCACCAAGGCCGAGGCCGAGCTGGGCGCCTTCCCCAGGGCGTTCAAGAAGCTCCTGCACACGATGAGCGTGCCCTCGCTCTTTAGCAAGTCGTCTTCCTCGAGGCCGCAGCGAGCCGGCTACGAAGCCCCCGTCCTGTTTCGGACCGAAGACTACTTCCCTTGCAGTGAGATGCCTCAGCTCTGACGCCTGACCGCCGCGGCCAGAAGACCCCAGCCGGGGGCTTACCTCCAGTGTGCAGGGCGCTGCAGGTGGTGCTCATGGACGTCTGTGATGTTGGAGTGCGGAGTTTTAAATTTTACCGTGCACAGACTCTCCTTAGTATATTCATGATTCCGTGTAGACTGTGTAGACGTTTTATGTCTTCCAGTTAAAAAAGGAGAGAGAGACGGGGGTCTTGCTATGTGACCCAGGAACTGGCCGGGAACTCCTGGGCTCAAGTGATCTCCCCCACCCCGCCTTAGCCTCCCCAGTAGCTGAAACCACAGGGCCCGCACCGCGCCCGGCCTGGGTCTTCCAACTCGAATCAGAGCTGCTTGGCGACGGCAGGGGGAATCAGTGAACTGTTCTGTGCACCGCGGCAAAACTGTTATTTTTATGGATTTCACTACACGGCATTACCTTTTCAAATTTACATGTTTGTATAATCATAAGAAAATGAAGCCATTGAAGCCTTGTTATTATTCAGTCGTAATAGTCATCCAGTTTTCTCTAACCTACTTTTTTAGGGTAAATGATATGTTACTTGATACTGTATTAAACTTCCCGTAGCACGAATTGTAAACCAAAGGAAATGGTACAGTTTCTGAGAAAATGTATGGATTTTTTGTGACTAATTCCGAAGTTGTATTTGAACCTATGACCTCACAGTCTTGGTTTGTCCATAGCAAACATATCTATTCTTGGATTGCCAAACTTTGGTTTATAATTTAAATATTAATAGAAATTTTAAGTTTTAATTGGAAATGGTTTCCTTCTGAAAAGAACTTTACATATTTCTTTGGGTTTGTTTGAAATAGACATATTGCTCATCTGCTTTTGGTAGTGGGATAAAGAAATGGGGCTGAGTATACCTCTTTTAGAGAGGTAATGTGAAAAACTAGCTTCTGTTTCACAGCATGGTATATTTCTTTCCCCTGGAAATGGATAAATGATCTGTGTGAGTGAATGGTATTAGGATTTTCCTGCGGATACAATCGACTTTTATGGAGATTCAAACGTGTTTTATAAGGGGGCCCAACTAAATAGTAGACCCTAAACAAGCAGACAGCTTAGGTTGCTTCTGCGTCATTTTCAGCGTCATCACAGATCTTTGAGGTTCATCGAGTAGCTGTATGTTCATTTTGCTGTGTATTGTGAAGACTGATCGTGTAATCTTGCACCTAGCTCCCCGTGGACGTTCCTTGTCACATACTTAACATTTTTTATTCAGGTGGTTCATTGACTACAAATCAAGGAACTCCTGAATGTAGATGCTGAAAGTACAAGTAACCTACATTTAATATTCAGCAACTGCTGGTAACCCTGTAAGGAATTCATATATTTTGATGACAGCCACTGAATATGAAAATAGCATCCTTACATAAGGAATACATTGCTAAAAGATTTGTTCACTTAAAGTTGGTATTAAAAAGCAGTAATTAGGAGCCGGGCGTGGTGGCTCACACCTGTAATCACAGTGCTTTGGGAGGCCAAGGTGGGCAGATCACCTGAAGTCAGAAGTTCCACGTCAGCCTGGCCAACATGATGAAACCCAGTCTCTACTAAAAATATAAAAATTTATCTGGGCATGCTGTCGAGCGCTTGTAATCCCAGCTACTCGGAAGGCTGAGCCAAGAGAATCGGTTGCCTTGGGAGGTGGAGGTTGCAGTGAGCCGGGATTGTACCACTGCACTTCAGCATGGGCTACAAGAATGAAACTCCATCTTAAAAAAAAAGTAGGACAAATTATGAAAAATTAGAATAACTTTAAAACTAAGAGTATCTGCATAATAGAAACCTTAAATTCCAGAGAGCATAAGTTAACAAGTGTGCTATAAAGGAAAAGTTTATTAGCTAGGGGTGTATAATGCTTAGATATGTCATTTACCTTCATGAAAGTAAATTGGGTTGAGAAAATTAAAAGTATAATAACCAGTAAGAAAATGGTATTCAGCTTAAGTTTTTAATGCTAATCATATAAAATATTCTAGCAATCCATCTAAAAGTAAAAGGTCCTGGTTCAGGTGATAACATGATTTTGTATGCAGCTTATCTCTAACAGACCCTGGGTTCTGAAATTCTTGTAGTTAATTGGTGTTATTTCTGAGCTTTTCACATAGAGATTTGTGCAGGGGCTTCTTGGTTGGGGAATTGAAGCTGGTTTGTACAGTCCAAGACACACTAGATGAAGATACCTGCCTTAAGAATGGGGATGGGGGGGCAGGTACATCCCCCATCCTTGGCACTGCCTGCTCCCTCTTTATCTTAACTCTGACCAGTCGGCGAATTAAGAGGGCCCTCTGCATCTTGGAAAACAGGTCCTTCTGACTCTTCTTTTTTTTTTTTTAATTTGAGATGGAGTTTCGCTCTTGTTACCCAGGCTGGAGTGCAATGGCACAATCTCGGCTCACCGAAACCTCCGCCTCCCGGGTTCAAGCGCTTCTGCCTCAGCCTCCTGAGTAGCTGGGATTACAGGCGTGCGCCACCACGCCCGGCTAATTTTTGTGTCTTTAGTAGAAGCAGAGGTTCTCTGTGTTGGTCGTGCTGGTCTCAAACTTCCGACCTCAGGTGATCCACCCGCCTGAGCCTCCCAAAGTGCTGGGATTACAGGCGTGAGCCACTGCACCTGGCTGTTCCTCTGCCTTTTCTTAAGTCAATAACAGGTTGGGAGGAGGGCTGGTGCCCGTGGAGCTGAGGGAGAAGGCCCAGATGTCATCCTGGATGACCCCCGCAGACCATCTCTGCTGCTGGGGTCTGGCATTCCCCCACTTTCTGGAAGTATCAACAGATGGGGATAGGATCTAATAAAGCTTGAGGGAGGCGCCCCACCATCACACTGGCGTCAGTTAATTTGTCCTTAGCTGCCACACGCACAAGTACAAGAACCGACAAGACTCAGGAGTCCATAGGACACCCCCGAGGTCCAAGGGCCTGGTGTGCAGGAGTCGGCTTACGCACCAAATATCATTGGCACCAAATATAATTGGCTACGAATGAGCTGGTGAGCACGTGTGGCTTTTCCCTGAGGCCACATCTTTGAGGAATGGGAGGAGTCTTGATGCTGGAGTCAGGCAGCCTGGTGTGAACCTGCTAAGTGATCTCAGGCAGGGGCCAGCAAAGTCCTAAAAGGGCCAGACAGTCATTGTTTTAGAATTGCAGGCCATGTGGTCTCACAACTACTCACTCCGCCCTTGGAGCACAAAAGCAGCCATAGATAATATGCCAGCAAATGGGCATTGCTATGTGCCAATAAAACTTAACTCACAAAAACTGATTATTTCTTGAAACCTGAGACAAAGCGAGAGGAGAAAGCCAAACAATGGCCTGGGATTTACAGTGTTAAACGAGCTTGGCTAAAGAGCTGTCAGAGGCTTCATGAGAAGACGAAAAGTGAGTTCCTAAGGAATTTTTCTTGCTGCTAAAAGTGAATAAGGATAAAGATGGGCCCAGGATGTGGACAGGGAATGCAGGTCACCAGCCTGCCCTGGAAATGAGACCAACGGGTCACAAGCAAGTGGGGCCCAGCTCGGATCATATTGGCCTTGTCACCCCACTTTCCATGCCAGAAACTTCTCATGGACTCTTGCAGCAGTATCTTCTAAGGGCTCAGGCTTGCAATAATCTGTGGTCAATAAGAGCTCATATCCACCTCGTCACTCCCACAACGTATCCCCAGTGCTCTGTCCGTGCCCACTGCTACCCAACTCAGCCAAGCCACCAGCATCTCTCTGGGGCCACTCAACAGCCTAAGTGGCCTCCTGCTTCCCCTTCCCCACTCCAAGCCACTCCCCGAATGGAACACAGCAGCCAAAGGGGTCTATAAACAACATAAATCAGACATATGGGGCTCTGCCTAAAGCCCTCATTAGCTTCTCACCTTGGAATAAAGCCCAATCTCTGTTCTCTGGCCTGACCTGGCTCCTGCCCCCTTGCTCACTCCCCTGCAGCCTTCCGTCAACCCTGATAGATGCTCCATACCATCTTTCCCTTCATATGAGGACATAGGAAGGGAGCATAGGAAGTGCCCCCCTCATAGCGCTTACTACAGTTTGTGACATGTGTCTGTGTCACTATCTGATTACTGTTTACCTTACCCACCTCCAGGAGTAACAAGTGGATGTTAGCTCTGTCCACCTGGCTGTATACTCAACAAGCAGGTAGCACGTCCCTGGTACACTCACATATCTGTGGAATAAGCGACTGTCAGAATGACTAAGTGAATGAATAGGCAAAATCTCAGCACCCCGAAAGGAATGCAAGACAGAAAGGCAAGCACGAGAATTCAGGCAAACTAAGGGCTTGCTCAGAAATCAAGCACCATGGGAGGATGAGGACGCAAAGAAAAACATGATGTGGTTCTTTGCCAAGAGCTGGGCAGGCCAGTGGGTGAGAAAGTCAGATGCCCAATCCAATTGAGTCCAACCCAAGGTTCAGCCAAATGCCACACAAGCATTCCTGGGGCTCCAACAGGGCTTTGTTCTTATTCGTGCCCTGGGCATGTTGATACAGAACTTGCAGAACTATCTTTCTAAGAAGGCTCCTTGTATGTGCTGAGAGGTTAAAAAACATGGTCTAAGTCAGGTGCAGTGGCTCATGCCTGTAATCACAGAGCTTTGGGAGGCCTAAGCCAGAGGATCACTGGAGGCCAGAAGTTCAAGACCAGCCTAGGCAACATAGTGAGACCTGGGCTCTACTAAAAATCCACAAATTAGCCAGGCGTGCTGGCTCAGGCCTTGTAGTCCTAGCTACTTGGGAGGCTGAAGTGGGAGGATCACTTGAGCTCAGAAGTTGAAGGCTGCAGTGAGCTGTGATCCTTCCACTGCCCTCCAACCTGGGTAGCAGAGCAAGACCCTGTCTTAAAAAAAAAAAAAAAAAAAAAAAAAAAAAAGTTAATTTAATTTAAAAAACACCGTTTTCCAAAGTGACTGAAATTGTTTGACCCGCTAGTGGAGAATGAGAGCTTCTCCTCTATACTGTTCATCGCCCAAGGAAAGTGAGCGTTCCCGTGGTGAGGCTGAGGGAACTTGGTTATCAAGGAGGATGCAAGGACCCTCTGGCTGTGGGGTGTGGGGTCCGTGGTGGCTGCAGGGACTGCTTCCTCCACAGCAGGGGGCGCTGCAGGAACGGGAAAGGCCTGAAAGCAGCTGGTCCAGCCCCTGACTTCGGGAAACTAAATCCCTGTGTGCTGCCAGGGTCGCTGGGCACTGGAAATTCAGAGCCCCAAGATCCTGTCCATCCTCGAGGGGCTCCCAGTATGCAGACAGAGCGGGGACGGCAGCTGCAGCCCAAGGCACAGTGGCCGTTCTTGCATGGGGAGGGGGAATTAGGAGAGGGGCGGAGAGGGTGCTGATCTGGAAGTGCCCTGTCTGGTAGGGGCGGGAGACAAGGCTGTTTATGTCCACCCGGCTCTTACCTCTACCCGAAAGGAACACCATCATTTCTTATGTGTGGTTTGTCTGTCTCCCCCCACCAAGTAGGCAG